CACATGGGGTTTTAGCAGGGGAAGGAGACTCGGAATATATATCGGGCTTAGAGTGCATGGAATGCACATGGGGTTTTAGCAGAGGAAGGAGACTCGGAATATATATTGGGCTTAGAGTGCATGGAATGCCATGGGGTTTTAGCAGGGGATGGTGAAATGAATATTAATCGGCTATGAGTGCATGAAATGGGAGGAACATTCAAATCCTCTTTTAACTACACCATGCGCCAAATGCTACTCCTTCCACATACTTTCAGCTAGAGACTTAATTCCAACTTTAAAATGATCACAAGACCTTCAGCTATAAAACTCGTTCAGATTTTTCATATCTTTTACACTTTTTGAGATATTTAACTTAGTTTGGAGGTTGGTAAAGAGGCCTCCTTCAGATTTGAACATGAGTGTGTATTGCGCAGCTCGTTAAAGTCTAGAGTGCGTGATGTCACAGCTAGACTGGTCCCCGACCAGACCTAAATATGGAGTGTGGACTTCTACTTGGAGAGGTCCCAGTTCACCTCCTGCCCTGCCGTGGTGCCCTTGAGCAAGGCACCGGACACCCCCCTTCCCCCCCACTCCCATTGCTCCCCGGGCGCTGTACAATAGCTGCCCACTGCTCCTAGTACTAGACTCCTTGTACTAGGATGGGTTAAAAGCAGAGGCCACATTTCACTGTGTGTGCTGTGTGCTCTGCATGTGTGACCATTAAAGAGGGTTTCATCCCTCCCTATTATTAATAAAGGACAGCTTGAAATTCGCCTTACATTTTCTTTTTTAAACTGCCATAATTCCCAAACCCTACACTCCTTGGACATCATTTTTTGTGAAAAACGTAGGAAAACCTCTCCTAAGTTGAAAAATTAAGAAAAAAATTAAATAAATTAAAAAGATTAAAAAGAAAAGTGAAATTTGGGGGGAAAAAGTTACATTTTGAAAAAAAAGCAACGTTTTGAAAAAAAAAAAGTCAAATTCTGATAAAAAAAGTCAAATTTGAGATGCATTGTGGGACATGTAGTTTATGGGCAACGTGCTTCTGTAAATCAGCATGTAACCGTATAATAAACATTTTATATTCTTTGCAAGCTCTTGTGGGCCACAGAAAATGAAGTCACAGGCCCCCTGGCCTTGAGTTTGACACCCCTGCTTTACAGCATTCACACGCATTTTCAGCAGGAAATGCATTTTCTAGTTTGCTTTTGTGTTCCCATAACAACATGTCCAAGATGTCCATGTGCCAGGCTAACGCATGTGACGGAACTAGGTACATTTGGAAAGGTTTTTTTGGTTTGTTGCTAAAGGTAACTTTTCAAGCCATTTAAGAATAAAAATGCTTACATGACATGTCCTTTGTTAAACATTAAGCTGTCTTTGGCTCTTTTCTGCTGTAACAAATGTAAATTTCCCCTCTGTGGGACGAATAAAGGTATTCTGATTACATTTAACCTGTTGTGGAAACATTTCTTGATCTAATTGATATGAAACAAATGAGACAAACATCGCTGTGAGACTGGTGTCACATCGGGACATTAACCCAACATTCACAGTAAACCCAAAATGACATTTATGCACAATTAGAAATATTATTATGATCTGATCAGTTAATTTAGCTGATTAAATTATATTTAGCATATTATTATTTAGCAAACATATTCTTTATTCTTCAATTCAAAGTATGTTCAAACAAATGTAAACCAAAAAATCATCCTCATTCATTAAGTTATAAATAAGTTACTTTACCAGTAAAGCTCAATGTGACATATATGTCACATTTCAGATGTGACACTAGGGGGGGTTACTTGACAGAAATGTGTGTGGTCTATTTAGTCTAAATGACGTTCCCCTTAATTTTCCCAAAAGTAGAAATGGGTCTGGCTTCTTATGGGTTAAACGTATCTCTTAAAGGCATAATAGAACTACTGTATTATATGTATTGAACTTGTGCCCCGCTCGACTTACTTTTCTGTGGTTGACCGTTACTGTGACATATCAGTATTAGCCATGGAAGATAGTTTGTTTGTTTCATTCCTATGCTGCATCAAGGTTATTTTCATGTATGTACAGTAATTGTTTTTCCTGCACAGAGTCTTGTTGTGATGAGAGGGATACAGGTATTTCATAAAAGAACTTGCTCGCTGGAGAATAGCTACAGAATTTATATCACAATTTAATCGGAGCTGATCACAACTTGTCACAGATGATCCAGTCATCTCGATGCTGCTTTCGGGCTGTGAATAAACAACTTGTGTTTTACTTTTAGGCTGTCTGAAGGTATGGACAGCTATCAAAGCTACTATACATCACATTAAGAACGATGTACAAATGAAAGTCGGACACAAATATATAATTTAAATGATTTATTCAAGTTTGCAATGTTTTGAACAGGCATCCACACAGTCACCTACTTTGTCATTTCCGATACCTCCCTGTAAGCGTCACGATATCGACCTCTCACCCACAACCTCACATACGAGTACTGAATGTGCAGCAAAGTGATCTTAGCAAGGCAGATATAGCAAAAGATGAATGTAAACGACAAACGAGGCGATCGACATGTTTATTTCCTGGTAAATCCACAATGGGTCCTCAATGGACACGCCCCGGATTCATGTGACGAAAATAATAGAATGCCGCCAGTTGTCATGACTCAAGTTATACTGTAACACCGGTGTAGGTACCATATGTGTTCGGCCTACCAGATGTGTTCGGGGTCCGTTACGCTTACCAATGACGTCACGCATTGGCTGTACGGTAACCCAAGAGGACTTTTACACGGTCAAATTCCGAATGTATTGAAACTCCAGACTCAACGTAAGAGCTTGAGCCTCTTCGGGGGGTGCTAACATTTAAACATACACTTCATTCTTTACTTTGTCCGTTATTATATGTAGAAGATATTACTTTTTTCTCCGTCATGTTGTTTCCATAGCAACAACTTCAAAATAAATAAATCTAAATAGATGTGTGTTCTACACACCAAAATACGTTATTTGAACACCCCTCTCGATCGATTTACAACAAAAAAAATAGTATGGCCCGCCCTAATACACCAACGCAGTTTTTAAAGATATACATTTTTCAACACAGAATCATTTACCAAATTACACTATATCCAATCATTTTACGAGTCAGAAAATGCTATATGTTCATTGCAGTTATTGTTTATTGAATTAGATTACCATGAGCTCAACATAATTATGGAGAGTAGGCATACAAGTCCACAGCCAAGAAAATGTTATTTGCATTTCATTTTATTTATGAATATGGAATTATGGAATTCTAACACTGAAGTTTGTTATTATTTACTATAACTTTATTATAGTATTCGGGTACAGCCCTACTGTACCCGAATATCCGTTCGTTGGTGTACTATTTCGGGTTTCAATTTCGTTATTCGGATATTCGTTTTGTTTGTTTTTTCCCCGTTTTTTTTCAAATTGAATTTATTGAAATCTCCAATATCAACGTAAGAGCTTGTGCCTCTTCGGGGGGTGCTAACACTTAACCATAAACGTTATCGTTTACTTTCTCCGTATTTATATGTAGATATTACTTTTCTCCGTTAAACTCTGTCACGTTGTTTCCAAAGCAACAACAACTTCCTGTCAACTGCGCTAACTCTCCTTCAAAATAAAAGCATGTCCATACCGTACAGCCAATCACAATGCGTGACGTCATTGGTAAGCGACGGACCCCGAACACATATGGTAGGCCGAACACATATGGTACTGACACCGGCGGTCTATCCGCCAAAACAAACTTAAGTTTGTGTCAATCACTTGCACGTCACTTCTGGTATGATGGGCATTCCCTTTCCGGTTTGATTCTTTAGTTTGTTAAAGTGTTTCTGCAAATGTTCGGGAAATGTAAAAGTGTTTCGCATCTTGTTAATTTGTTTTTGTTAACGTTACATCGTTTTTTCTTTGGTAAAAGTGTTTTGCTTATGTAATTTTGTTTTATAAAATGTAAATTTGTTTTATAAAATGTAAATTTGTCTCAAGCTTTGTTAAAGTGTTTCACACTTTGTAATTGTCGATTGCACCTCTCAGCCACCGTACTCTTCTTTAGAGAAGACCAGGAAATGATGGATACACGGATCGTGTTCAAATCAATAGGCACGCAATGACTCTAAATAATAATGATCACGCCACCAAACACACATTCAAACTAAAGGAACCAGCCTGTTTGGAAAATGTAAGAAGTAGAAAGTTCAGGTATTTGTGTTCAAAATGTAAGAAGTAGAAAGTACAGGTATTTGTGTAAAAGTAAAAAGTTGTCAGAAAAATAAGTAGTGGAGTAAAGTACTGATACCAGAAACATGTACTTAAGTACAGTAAGGAAGTATTTGTATTCCACTACTTCCCACCTCTGCCGGTAACAGAGAGGAAGAAACTGCAGCACACTCATGTAAATATATTAAATAACCCAAACTCAAATACGTATGTTCATTCAACTGATCAACGTTTTACCTTGTTGTGATATCTTGTTTTAACAGTCACTTATATAATGTTATTTTTAATTCTATTACCCTCGTGTGAATCTGTGCTTTCCGGATTTTCACTCTCACTCTGTTGCTGCTTTAATCTACTGAATTTCCCCACGAGGATAAATAAAGCTCCGTCTTATCTTATCTTAAGTACCTCTTTGAATGTAAAAGAAGCATTGCAAAATAATAATACTAATAATACATTTCATTTATATAGCACGCTTTAAAAACAACATCATCTCAAGGTGCTTCACAATGCTATAAGGAGAAAATAATAAAACAAATAAAATAAAAAGTTATCTAAGGAGCATATTGAATAAAATATGGTAATATAAAACTAAAAAAAGGTTAAGAGCATAAAAGGTTAGAATATTTATTTTTCTGTTTTCTCGTTCAACAGAGAAAAACTATTGATATGGAAGTACACAGACTCAACAGCAGTGCATGTCTATCAAATTAAATAACCCTAAAAGAAGTACTCAAAAGGTATATGTAACGGCAAAAAGGAAACGCACACAGATTGTTCATTTGCATCATGGTTTTATTTCTTCCTTTACAAGAAAGAATCAGTATACAGATTACAGTACGTCTCGATGCCCAGCATTAGACTTTCTGTCCATTATTTCAGCCAATCACTGCGAGTCCTCTGAGGATCACAGTAAACATGGTGCACGTAATGCAAAGGCCTTGGTAGGTGATCGTGTTTTAGTCATAATATGTAATGGCATTTTCTAAATTGCAGCGTTAAATAAATAAGACCTGAGTTAAATAAAAACTAGTAATGCTCTCTCCATGTTTCAACACAAGTAAGGCCTTTTTTTACACAAATGGAAATTCAACTCACTTATACACATTTCTTTTAATAAAATGACTACATTCAGAATGAGAGCACAAAAAGGAAAAAAAGAGTTTCCCTAACAACTGTTCACATGAAAAAAGTGCCCGGTTGTTCTTGTCGCCATGTTTTCTGTGGAACAAGAAGCCTGTAGTGTTCTCTGTTCTCAGCACCGTGAGGAGGAACCGACAGGATCCACTCCAACTAGAGTCCAAGAGTTTTTATATTTCCTTAAAGTTACCGTATCCGGGTGAAGAGATTTAAAACTGAAACAGATTCCTGAAAAAAGAAAGATGGTAAATTGCTTTTAAACATATAAGGGGGTGTTTGATTAAAGTCATATTTCAGATGTTTTAAAATGGGGTTGTATGAAGACCCTAGTTTACGAAATCAAAACAGAGTTACAGCACGGAGGATAAGCAATGTACTGCTGTGGATGGGGAAAGCAGCAAAATATATTTAGCCACCTAAAAACATACTGCCTACACTACAAAAACTCGAAATCTTGCCAAGTATATTTGTCTAACATCTAGTCAGAATATGTCTTCACACCTGATACAATAACTTCAGAAGTAACACTGCAGTGAGATATCGGGTCTTGATTTTAGACAATGCATCATCCTGTTAAGTAAATCTTTTTTTTTGAGTTGTATCTCAGATGAAACACATATCTTTTTACATATTTATTAGAAATGACCAACTAACATCAGAAAACAGAACACTTTTGAGGCTTATATTGTAACAACATTTCCTGTTTCTGGTCAAATATAGTTCAAATTGAGTTCTCCCAGATAATTACAAGATCTGATTTATCTAAATATCCCTTCTTATTTCAAGAAATCTTACCAAGCTAATTTTCACTTTTTCAGATTTTTGTACTTATTTCAAGTGAAAACAGCTTGTTTTCAATATTGTTTAACTTGTTTTTGGGGCAGCATTTTTTCCAGTGTAAAAATAAAATCTATTTGAGTTTAGATATCTTTAAGATATTTGCACTGCTTCACGCTGAACTCTCTTGAAAGCCACCAGACTCCATCAAAAAAAGAAGCAAATTAACCCGAGGGGTAAACTGGTTTACTGCTGCATCGATTGGTTTGCTTACTGTGTGACTTTGGTGCATTCAAATGATACCTTTAGAAGACACAAAACAACACAGGGTAACTAACCCATTGAGGCAGCAGATGACCAGCAACTTGCGAAGATGAACTCACTGTTTTTGTCAATGGATTCTGGTGTCTTTAAAGGTCACCTATTATGCAAAATCCACTTTTTCATGTCTTTTCTACATCAACATGTGTCCCCTCTGTGGAAAGAGATTCTGAAAGTTTCAGCAAAAAAGATTCTCTCTCTTTTTGTCCTGATCCATTTATATAAAAACCTGTCTGAAAATGAGCTGATCAGATTTTGGCCACTTTATGATGTCATAACGATGTTTTGGCTTGTGTAACCATTAGCCAATCACCAACCAAGGGAACCCCCCCCCCCCACCTTATCACCTGAATCTCCTCCTAGAGCAGTGCTTCTCAAACTTTTTCAGTAATGTACCCCCTTTGAAACATTTTCTCAGTCAAGTACCCCCTGACCGACCCCGACATTTTTTGATCGAAAAAGCCTATATAAATAATTACAATATAGTGATGTTCCCTCAGTGTGTGATTTATTAACTGCTTCGTGCATGAATTACAACAAACTAAGGATATTTTCATTTTATGCATGAAAAAAAATAACGTTTTTATAAAACAGGTTTTTCCAAGGAGTTTTTCAACTGAAGTAATATATGTTTAACAAACTAATGAACAAAATGATATATTGTGAAAAACTATAAAATACAATACACACATTTGTATGAGGACCCCCTTGGTGGTTCTAGGAATTTTTTATATAAAATTGTGTTTTCTATTTAACTTATTGTACTAAGATTATTTTTGTAATCATGCATGGTATTTTTTTAATTAACCTTTTTTTTTAAATCTCACGTACCCCCTGCAGTACCCCAACGTACCCATAGGGGTCCGCGTACCCCCATTTGAGAACCACTGTCCTAGAGCACCATTGTGTTCTTTTTAACCAAATATCTCTCAGAGGGGCGTGGGGAGGGGCTCCTTATTTTCATCTAAAGTAACAGACAGAGAATCAGCACTTTTGAAACAGGGCTGAAACAGAGGGGATTATGGGATGCTACAATGATCTGTTTTGAGACATGTATTGTATATATCTGAGACCTAAAATGTATTGTTGAAAAAGAGAAAAATAGGGGACCTTTAAAGCTTCAGTTCCACATAGAAAAAGAGACTTATGACAGCAAGGTCAAGCGCAGAAATGTTCTAAATAGAAATATATATTCTAAAACCTCCAAACTCTCCCTTTATCATCCTCCTCACCTTAGTTGACCTGCTTTTACTGAACACGTTCCAGAAGCGCAGCGTCTCGTCTCCCGCTCCCGTCACGATCGCCTCACCGTCCGGGGACATGGCCTGATATTTACAAAAAGAACAAATCACAATATGTTTCAGAAAATACGGCCAGCTTTTCCATTATCATGACCAAACAGCCACGTCATGATTCTCATCAGATATCAGACACACACTGACCAGGTAGAGCACTCTGTAGGAGTGTCCTGTGAGTTTGGCGACCTGAGTGAGCGCCGGATATTTCCACACCAAGATCTGATTCTGAGAGTAGCCGTGAGTGCTCACCTGCAGGAAAAACAGGACAAATGTATGATAAAAGTCACCATAAATACATTCTTAACACTAAAACACATCGATGTCACTGCTGCAAACTAAAAAGACCATGAGTAAACATTCATGAAGATCCTCACAGAATATAAACTATATTTTTCCATGTATTCAATGATATGCTTTCTCTGTGTATTTACAGATATGACATCCTGCAGTGTTTGTTCTGCCATCAATACATCGTGTGCAAAAGATATCAAACAAAAAGCACCAACATTTCAGGAACATTTTCCAAAGTATTTCAGAGTAAAACATGGCTAAGCCTTTAATCTGCCTCATAAGAGGTTTATAAGAGATTGTAAATGAGGACACAGTACTCCAAACGTTTTCTTATTTTTTTACACAAGACAAAGCAATAATTGTCTTTTTAATTGCCACTATTTATTCAAACTTGTGAATGTGTCATGTAGCCTGTGTTATTACAGGTTCACAACCAGGTCCTGAACCGTGAATATGAATTGTTTCCATCAAATCGGAGAGACAGGGTCGCATGGTTTAAAAAAAGTCAGACTGAAGCTTTCTGTTGTGCACCAGTTAATCCTCAAATTAAATACAGAGCTCAACCCCAGATCTAATAGAGCGGTGCAGGGATGACGTATCTTTGTAGGCCGACCCGGAAGTAAGCTGCGCATGGGTTCCCTAAACAAAAAAAGCAACAGGATTTCTCCATAGGATTTTGGAATATTGTAAAAAATAAGGTCTGTGGAAAACGAACCTGTTTTGCACGTTTTGTTCAGTCGGATAATCTCCACATGTCTACCCTACTTTTATCATTTTTGAATCATAAATCTAGTCGCCAGAAGCAAAATGCTAACGTTATGCTATAAACGAACTACAGCCGAGTACAGCAGCACGACTTCAACGTCACAGCAACTTAAGATCCATATTCAAACATACACATAGAAAATTGTACAAGTTGAAGCGTTTGTTTGAACAGTTTGCAGGAGGCAGGCACTTGCTTTCAAGCAGAACAGGGCAAACAAACTTAGCAGGAGTGTTTACGTGTTCGGCGTAATGACGTACAACGTCCTCGACAATTTCTGTCACTTGTTAACAACCATCGTTTTTCAGACACGTCAACTCTTCAGAAATCACCAGTGGGGTCACTGCTGATGGATTTAATGTCGTAGAACAAAACGTGATCCGTCTCTTCAATGTGTCTCAACCACAGACCTTATTTCAGCTATTTTCCAAAATCCTAAGGAGAACTCCCGTTGACTCTGAGACGAGGGAACAGGAAGTGGTAAAATGCTAACTCACTTCCGGGTTTTAGGACTCGTCACTGTCTGTTAGAGGGTCTTGAGCATGTTAAATGTCTGTTTCCTTGTACCCTGTCTTATCTATTTGTCCTTGTTGATGCTGCAAATGGAGCTGCTGTGATGCAGGAAACACTTCAGACCTGATCTGACACTAAAGAATTATCATATCCTATGGTGTTACAGTGCAGTGAGTGCATGGGGGGGGGGTCCCTCACCAGCTCGTTGGCGTGCTTGGACCAGGCCAGGTTGCAGACCTGAGAGCTGGTGTCCATGCACTGCAGCGGCTGGGAGGTCAGCGTGTTCCAGAAGCGGATGCAGCGGTCGGCGGTGCCCCCCCCGGAGGCCAGCAGCCCGTGCTGGTGGGGCGACCAGGCGATAGCCTTCACTGCAGCCAGGTGGTCCGTGTAGGTCTGCACCGGGCTCAGGGACGAGTGGTTCCACACCAGCAGCTGAGTTAATACAACACAAAGAAAGCTTTATTTATACAGCACCTTCATACACAGGCTGCAGTGCTTCACATACAGACAGGAAATAAGTAAGGATGCACCGATTAAAAATAAGTCAGAATTATATTTTGTCTTGTTTTATTTAAGTCCAGTGTTTATTGATCTCTTTTTGTTTGGCTCTGTCCATGGATGCACAGGAAGAGGGGGTTATGTATTTTCATTTTTGATTATGAAGCACATTTTTGTTAACTTCTTTTATGCATGTTTTTTATGAATCTGTTATTCCATTATATTTATTTATTGTGTTCCTGATGATGTAAAGCACTTTGAATTGCCTCTGTGTCTGAAAATGTGCTCTATAAATAAACGTACCTTACCTTATAGTAAAAATGTCCTACAATATAAAACATGCATCACAGTTTTCATTTGTAAATAGTCGACTGGACGGTACCTTGTTGTCGTTGCCCCCCGATGCGAGCAGCTGATGGTCGGTGCTCCACTTTAAGCCGCACACTTCCTGTCTGTGACCCTGTAGACGCCGCTCTGACTGCAGGGGGGGGGTCCGCATGTCTCTCTGCAGGATCATACGGTCACGGCTCCCCGAAGACAACTGGTCTGCGTTCCAGGCTAACGCTCCTGCACACAGAGAGAAAGCTGCATTAATGAAGGCCCTGCATTGACCTTTGACCCCAGATACATCTCCACATGTCCTCCTTCTTTATTCTACTTCTTGACCCCTGCCACCTTAAATCTGAGGTTGCGGGCAAGATGTCAGTTTTGCTCAGGAAGGTTCCGAACGACCCCGAAGTGTCAGCCATGTTTAGAGCTGTTCTGATTCTCTAGGTGATAGGAAAGGAGCTTCAATGCTTCCTTTATTATCTCCTTTAGGACACACTTGACAATCCTTTCACAAAAGGAAAGGAGATAATACTGTCCCACAATTCTTTGCGGCTGCAACATTTAAAGTGAGGCAACCGTCGGTGGTTCACAGAAACAACTGATCGTGACAGAGGATTGTGAATCATGTGAGTTACGCTGCTTATTGATCATTTCACAACTTATGTTTTAAACTTTGTGCTAATTTGAGATGAATAAAGAATATCTAATCTTATGAAGTAAAAACACAGACTCTCACTCACCGACTCTCGCCGTGTGTCCTTCCAGGGCGAAGAGTTTCTTCCCAGCGCCGGCATCCCAGATCTGAACGAAGCCTTTGTGAGTCCCCACCGCCACCAGGTTCCCCTGAAACAGGAAAATACATGAAGTCATGTGACCGTGCTGAAGTTCCTTTATAGCCCAACATTAGCCGCCTTTAGCTTAGCGGTTCCTTTATAGCCTACTGTTAGCTTTTTACTTCAGAAATCATAAAGTGGTGTTAATACGTGGAGATTATCCGGCTGAACTAAACGTATAAGAATCATAAACGTTTATTTGACACAGAGATAATTTTTCTGCAATAATCCAAATCACATGGAGAAATCCCATTGAACTAGGGAGATGCTGCCTTCAGGCTCCAACACAGAAATACGACATCACTGCACCACTATATACAATTCATTCATTTACTCACCCTTTCGGACCAGCCAACGGACGTGACTGAGTCTCCCTCCACCGACAGATCACACAACCGTGTTACCTGAAGAAAAGACATATCAACCAGTGATTCACTTATCGTATTCATGCTGTCAAGAAACACAACCATACACACACACAGCAAGCAGTTAGAATCCCTGTTATGTATCAGCAGTGTGAGCAGTGAGCAGTACCTGGCTGGTGCAGGCGCTCCACAGGTACACGCAGGTCCCCAGCCCCACGCTGAGCACGTTCAGAGACGACCAGTCCACCAGGTTCAGGTAGAAGTCGTCCTGCAGCTCCGGAGCGTCCAGGACTTTAAACGGGATCTTTGAGATCTTTCGAGTTGGCTTCCTCGGCGAACGCAGCAGCTTCTGACTGCAGCGGGAGAAAAGAGCGACATATGTGAGGCCAAAATGTAAATGTACAGGTTATTTTAAAGATGCACAGATTGCTATTTTCTTGGCCAATTTTTTTTATCTTTCCAAGAACTGTAATCAATGCAGCAAACACACACACAATGTAGTTCTCTCAGTTCATGGAGAATACGATACGATAATATATTATTATCAGAAAGAGCATGAAGTGGTTCTTGCACCGAAGCAGCTACAACATCATTGGTGCATTTTTAGATTCTTTGTGTGCAGAACAACTATAAAATATCTAAAAAACTAATATGTGCTTTACCTTTTGTTGCTGACAGGTGAGAGGGAGTAGGGGGAGATGTTCGTGCTGTCGTCCGGTGAAGACCTCTTGGTGTTTAGTGAATACTGCACACACAAACACACAAATAGAAACCATCATTTCTCCATGAGCTTTGTTACAATAACATTAAACACTGAAGACAAACGGCACACAAACTGAATAGTAACATTCTTCCATTTGATCATGTTTTTTTAAAGGACTACAGAAAGCATTTTGTACGGTATGTTTGTCTGATCTGATATTGTTTGATGTGCTTTATCACATATAAGGAGTATGAGACGACATGTTCCTACATTAAAGAGACTTCTCTTCTCTGGGGTTGACGGCTGCAGTCGCCTGTCTTCGGTCTGAGGGTCCTGGATCTTCTCTATTCCCGCTCCCAGCAGCTCGTTCTTCAGCAGAGCAGAGTAGGCCAGCCCGTCTGCTGCACCATAACACACACACACACACACACACACACACACACATAAATATATGAAACACAAGAACACAAACACTGTGTGCACAAAAGGTGGAAATAGACTTTTCTCTTATCACTGGCTTGAGTTTGAATAATCAGTATACATGTATTTATCATCCTTGCAAGAATGGAAGTAGTCATCACATACAGAGCTGCATGGGACAAATAGTTCCCTGAATAGTGTCCTTCACATGCCTTAAATACAAGAGAGGGTGTTATTCAGTCACAAGATACATGTATACCGGTTCAAAGCAGTATTCAATGTTTAGATCAGATTAGCTAAGGCCCACATAAGCAATAAACATGACAGTCACACGTCTATCTCCATAGAGGCTGAATCATCATGTTAATCACATAGCTATCATATGCCTAAAACAGTCCGGATGCTCTTCTAGGTAATCAGACATCCTGTCATGTACACAGCTACAGTTGGGATACCTTTGTTGAGTACATTCAGTATTTTCCCAACATCTTTCATTTACCTTTGATGTTGTCTGAGGACGCATCCTTTGTTTTTCTGTTCTGAGTCGGTGACTTCTCATTTTCCTAAGAGTCACAAAGACACCGTCGTTAATTTGAGTAAAAACTAAAAAGTTCTCAATCATACAGTTATCTTTACCCAAACAAAGCGTTGTCTTAAGACTTTTATTTCATACGTTAATATGACATTTTCTATTCCAAAAGCAAGGACACAGACACACAGACACACAGACACACAGACACACAGACACACACACCTTACAAGTGATGGGAATTACGGCTCTTTGAAGGGAGCCGGATCTTATGGCTCCGTTCCTTTCCGAGAGCCGTTCAAAAGAGCAGTTTTTTTTTTTTAAAGTGGCGTTGGAGATTATTAGTTGACCCTGCTTTAAATGATATTGTGGCTTTATCATTGCCTAGGTTTTTGTTGAAGTGCATCCAAATGCTGCTGCGTTTTCGCATTTGGCAACATTTTTCACCCGAAAAACACGTCGTCTACCTGTACCACTGAAGAACGGCTCTCACCAAGTACGACTCGGTTCCCTTCGTTCGTACCAAAGAGCCGTTCAAAAGAATCGGATCGTTTGCGAACGTAACATCACTACTTCTTACATTGATTCTGTGGAAGTTGATGTTCCAGTTTGCCCCCGCTCTGGTGGGAATGAATCTGTCTCCCAGTTTGCTGGGTGAAGACAACGGGGAGCCGCTGGGAGTCCGACTGGGCAGACTCTGGGTCAGTTTCTGCAAAAACAACAAATAAATACAATCATTTTTTTTATGAATTAAGTACGTTTGGTCACTTTTCTGATCTGTTCATTTATAATATAATTTTAAAACACCAAGAGTTAAATGAACAATGACATCATTAAGGAAGACTGAAGGACTCACAACGGGGCTCAGGTTGTCGTTTTGAATGTTGATTTGTCGGAGGAGGCGATGTTCATACTCTGGATCCATCTTCACCAAAATCTAAAAGCCCAGGCACCAGGCTGGGAGGCTAGAGACCTGGAATACACACAAAAGTGAACAGTTTAGGAGAGACACTTCAGGTTAAAAATGTAAGTTTAAGCTATTTTTTCTTTAAAAGGGCATCCAAAATAAACACTTGAGTTTTGAGTTTCTATGTGTCTATTTGTCTGTGTAGATTAGTCCTACATTCACCAAAAGTTAAAATTAGATAATGCCACAACATACACATAAAAAACGTACTAAATGAATTGTCTGAATGCAAGTCATTAACTGGGAAAATATGTATTAATATTAGTTAGTGTTGTTTACCTTTAGTGGTTTGCATAATGCAGTTTACATATTACATTACATGTCACTTGTTAGACGCTTTTATCCAAAGCGACTTACATACTCAATACTGTGGACGATCCCCACAGGAGCAGTTTGGGGTGAAGTGTCTTGCCCAGGGACACAACGACATGCTGACTGCAGTGGGGTTTGAACCTGTGACCCCCTGATCCTGAAGCTTTTTACAGATGGGTTTGATCATTTATTAATAAAAGCCCAATAAATATCACAATGTAATACTACAAATAAGACCAGTTGGATTTTCTTGATAGCTGTGCCAGTATTTTCTGATTCACAGGGTGATACAAAGAGATTTCTTCAGTAAGACCATTTGACAAAATGTCCCAAAATCAAACCAGTATTTCGAAATTAAAACCTTGTTTATAGTGGGGTTTTTTTTAACAGGAGGGTAATTCATGCAAAGTTAGAATGTTTTGAAGCCAGAAGCCTGAAAACATTGATATAAACCTGTAACACCAGAGCAAAAAATAGCAAGTCTATCTACATATTTACAGTAGAAAGGACAGGAGCCACAAGAATACCTATTATTACATGTTTAAGATAATTCACCACAATATTACAGTAGCAGAAAACCTATATGGAATAAACCATAAAGTAAGAACAGATTAACACAACAATCCGTCACCATTACGGCACGATTTACAGCTATCTTTAACCCAGGTAAAAGCAACACATTATATATTTCTGAGCCTTGTCTCTGAGCTAAATGTCATCAAACTGCCTCTTTATTATAATGTTTGTAATAATAAGAGAAAGCTATGCTAACATAACTAGCATTAGCTTATGTAGCTAGGGGCTAATCTAGACATATTTGTAATAAAAACATACGTACAGCAGCGAGCCCGTGCCCAGAAACCAACACCGCCAAACAAGAGCAACAATCCGGGAGATTTCCGAAGATAAAGAGGAATAAATGTGAAGTTATTCACTCTCAGATGTGACATGTAATTCACTTTAGCTCAGGTGGAAATCACACAATGCATTGTGGGAGTTGTCACGTGACGTAGAGCTTCAAATCAAAACAAGGAAATGCGGCGCAGGAGGTTTTTTTCTCAACTTTATTAAACAACTATTCCAGTACCTCAGAAAAGGGCACAACAACATAATTACATTAATTCAAAACTGAGGGCATTATTAACAGAAAACAGAAAAGAAAACAGAAAATGTATAGGTTGTTTTAATTGCACATTTTCTCGAAGGCAGAAAACCGTCTTGAAAAGCTTTGTTTTTCAGAACTAACCAGAGGTGGGAGAAGTACTCAGATCTTGTACTTGAGTAAAAGTAGAAGTACTCAGATCTTGTAGGCCTACTTGAGTAAATGTAGAAGTACCAGAGTGTAGGAATACTCTGTTACAGTAAAAGTCCTGCATTCAAAATGTTACTCATGTAAAAGTAGAACAGTATCAGCATCAAAATATACTTAAAGTACCAAAAGTAAAAGTAGTCATTGTGCAGATTGGTCCATTTCAGAATAATATATATGATATGTTTTATAATGATTGATCATGAAAGTGTTCTCAAAGCTGGTAAAGGTGCAGCTAGTTTGAATGACTTTGTATACTGCAGGGTAGCTTGAGGATTTACTCCAGGTGGAACTAAAGTCTGATTTAACACTTGATTATATTTCACATCATTCATCCACATCTGTAAAGTAACTAAAGGTATTAAATAAATGTAGTGGAGTAAAAGTACACCATTTACCTCTGAATTGTAGTGGAGTAGAAGTACACAGTAGCATAAAATGAACATACTCAAGTAAAGTACAAGTACCTCAAAATTGTACTTTAGCACAGTACTTGAGTAAATGTACTTAGTTACTTTACACCACTGGAACTTACTACACTAAAGTATTGGAAGTATTTCACAACAAAGACTACAGTACAATCCTAAATATGTTGTAAGCAGTCTTACAGATTAAAGGATTTGATATCTTCATGTAACATCTTGTAAGTCTCTGATGTAAATCAAACTGTGTACAAGTGAATAAACTGTTACAATATATTATAGCGTCTGTGTTATTGCGTGAGTTGGTTGTAATGAACAATTATGAAACATAGAGGGCGTACTGGTTCTATTTTAGAACTGCAGACCCGATACAGGAGAGCACCGCTGGGGGTCCTGACCTCTATATGTATGGTTGGGAGGGTTACTTTAAGGATGTATTCTGTTATAATTACTTGTGACCTTAGAAAGAAGAAACCAAGATATTTAGGATCAGAAATGATTTTATTGATAGGAAAACCTGCCTTTCATGAAGCATATTCAGGCAGTAGCCTGTAGTGAAACAAATGAATGTGGGGCACAAACAAGAGCCATGGAGCAAAAGTAATGACACAATTTGCAATGAAAAACACAAAAAATAAAAATGTCTGAGCAAACATTTCAGGGGTTATAATTGCATTTAATCTGTGAACAAGAGCATGGGTAAGATTTAATATTTTTGTCTTAAATTCAGTACTTTGACATATCGTTTTTTCAGATGGTCTCAAAGACATTGCAATGTATACTGAAAGGAATGAAGTATAAATGCTTAAAGAATGAAAGGAGAGTCAGGAAAATGTGAGGAAGTCATAGGAAAAGGGAAACACTAGGAAAGAGATTAAGCAAGAGAAAAGTGTGGGAGTGAGGGAGGAAGAGGGGGGGACAGAGGGCGTAAGAGTGGAGAGGAGGAAGAGGAGGAGGGAGGGAGGGATGGCTGCTCATCAGAGGTAATGATGTAGAAAATCCCCCAATTAGAGCGTTTTCCTGTGTTGCAGGATGAGTTCAGAGCGAGGTCCTCTGACAGGCCGGGGATTAGCAGGTGGGCCGAGCCGAGCCTGAGCAGAAAGTACCGGGCTGGCTCCGCTCAGCTGGGGCCGCTCGGGGCCTCAAGCAGGGGCCACAGCCAGGGGTAGGCATGCGTTTAGCCAGGGCTCAAAGAAAAGCATGGGAAAAAAGGGCAGCATCAGATCAACGTGTAGGAAAACTGGAGGAGAGAGTTCTTCTTTACTCTGCAAACATCTCAAATGTTTTCTATTAAAAGGCAAGATTCAAGGCTTTTATTGTCATGTGTACATAGCTACACGGTAGATATATCAATGAAAATCGTAATTGTCCCATGTCATGCTTTTCCGGTTATTACCCGTCCCCTTGTGTGTTCCGAAGGTTTTTCTGCATGTAAACGGTCTGCAGAGTCACAACCCCTCAAAGTACACCCTGTAGGGAGTAAAACTCTAACACAGAAAATATCTGTCTATGCTGCCCCAGAACGCCTCGTTGGAGATTTCTCATTTTCCATTGTTTACTTTTTGGGTATAGTGACGTATTTCAGCTATAGTGACGTAACGTAACGTAATGGCTTCATCGTTATCAGGAAATGATCGTATAGGGCGTACACACTGAGCCGTTTGGCCCCCCAGAGCGGTCCGTTTGCAGATCTATCCACCTTGGGACCCGTTATCGTTTGCGGGGTCCGTTTCCACGGTTCCGTTACGGCCTCGTGTGAACGAACGGGCTATACGCGAGAGAAAAGTAGCAGATACAACCCGTTTAGTTCTCGTGTAAACACCGCCTGAGAAACCAATGTGAGTTTGGAAAATTGCACAATATAAATGAATTCTAGTAGACCTCAACAATGGAATTATGATCAGTAGAAATGGCCATGACATGGGACCTTTAAGTCACAGGCTCCTCTAACAGTGCAACACAATAAAACAGATACAAATAGTTAAAATAGTGCAAATAATACAAATAAAATAGAATAGAAATAGTGCAAGTAGAGTCTATATACAAGTAATTGGAATATGATATATTAAGAGAGGAGCCAAAGACACGGCAGCCATCATCACCGGCGCCTTCTTAAAGCTGCTGTTTGCACCTCTATGTATATTCTCCATGGCAGGTGACACATGCAGGAATAAACATTCAGACACATCGTTATAGAAAATAAGTTCTCCAGGAGAGTTGTGTTTTAATCTGGAACAATCTAAAATGGTTGCATAATTGTGAGCCAAATTGTATTTTTTGTATATCTGTTTACAACCCTGAATTTCTCAAAAGATAAACCATTTTTTGTTCAAAGCTTTCTTATATTTTGACAGTTGGAGGAAAGGAAAACCTCAAATGTTCTCTGAAGTGAGCCATAGAGGATCGTTGCTGTTGTTTGGAGATGTATAAACAGCAGTCAACATTCAGACTTTTTTCTCAGATCTAAAACATCAATAAACTTTTGGTCAGATCTCAACAAAAAAAATTCACATGTGGCCCTTATCCTCTTCTGTATGAGCCAGTTAGGCTTTTTGCTAACTCTTTGTAAGACCAAGACTTCTGGAAAATGTTACTTTTTTCTAAAACTATCTTTTATTTTGACAGTGGGAGAAAAGACAATCCTCAAATGTATTCTAATGTGAGCCAATAAGGAATACAGCTGCTGTTTTTACCTGATAAATCCATGAATTCATCAACAAATGTACTTTTTTCTTGTGCTCTTACATTAAATATCTCAACGCTGTAACCTCTTCAAATCTAGTAATGATGTTATTTGTGTTGTCCATATCTAACACAGTGTCTCAGCTCCTTGTTTCTTGCAGGCGTTTCCACATTACATCCCAAACATAACCTAATCCAACGTGGACATCTGGGTGTTGCTGAAAATCAATCTGTGCACATGCTGCTCGATGTCAAACAACAACACATCACTTGATCCTGAGTGTAGCGGTGGAAAGACACAGGAACACAGACTTTAATCCTCGCACAATAAATCTGAACATCAATCTGTCTCTGCACACAACGACCAAGCAAAACCAATTCAAACCTGTCATAGTGCTGCAGATAGCTGTAACAACCT